CAGGCTGCGAAAGTTGGATTTTTCCTCGTCTATTTATATATATGGGTCAGTAGTGCATTGTGGGTAATCTATTGTAGCGGTTATTTTTGCGGGAGTGGTTTGCTCGTTTATTTATTTGTTTGGGTTAATTTATTTTACTTTCTTTTCATTTTGTATTATTTATTCTTTTCGTTTTATATGTTTTATTAACGTAGTAAAAATGTGGAGGGATGATTTGTGTAGCTCACTTACTTATGTGTGTATGTGTGTGTGTGTGTTTTTGTGTTTGAGTGTGTGTATGTGTGTGAGAGAGAGGCATAGAAACTGAGATAGTATGTGTATGCGTTTATGTGCCTTTGTTTGTGTCCGTTATATTTAGTTAGAAAGAATTCATCCAAGAAATAACAATACTGAACTTACTGATAAAAAAAAAAAATTAACATTAACATTTTCTATAAAAATCAAATGAATGGTAAATATAAGTTTGAAGAACCTTCGCTTAAATACACTATAAAGATTTATTTACAACTTCTGTCGACAAAAGCAAGAAAATTAATTATCCGCTATGAAATTTTAAATAAAGCAAATCTGCAAACTTCATCAATAACCACAACTCTCTTACAAAATCGAAATTGCTGAGAACAAATATCATTTTCCGAATTCACATTGCCGCTTAAGGAACTGTGTTTTTGATCAAACCAAATTCGTAAATAATTATGTTGGAGGTACTACAATATGCTTAACAATAAGACTCATTTTTTTTTCCTTTGTGCTGTGCATATTCGCGCGGTTTGAAATATACTTTTTCCCCCTCATATCATTAATCATTTCATTTTTTAATGTATTAATTGTATGTAGGGTGTTTGTGTGAGTCAATATATAGTGCAATAATTGTTAAATTGTTCCCAGTCGACCCTGATGAGCTTGGGAACGAAACCGGTTGGTCTTTTCTGTAAGTGTTATCATCTCTTATTTTTTTTTGTTTTTCATAATGCCTTTAGGAAATGATTTGTATCTATTCCTTGCAATATATATATATATATATATATATATATATATATATATATATATATATATATATATATATATATATATATATATAATGACAGAGATGTAGCCTTAAATTCCATGCTAACAGTTTATTTTCTCGAACTTCTCGCTTGTGGAATTGCCTTTCAGATCCATGCTTCCCAGCCAACATTAATCTGCAAGACTGTAATTGTAATGTCAATGGAAATCTACTGTGCTCCTGGTTTGCCACTCTCTGTCCTCGCTCTCTAGAAATTGTTCCTGTTTCTATCTCTTCCAACACCCAGTAATCTCTTGAGTCTCAGTGGCTTTACTGCGTAGCTTGTGGTGAAGTGGACTAAACAGATAACTAAAATCTACAGCTGTAAAAGTATGAATGTATAAACACAAAAGTAAAACATATCTTAAGCGCCATGTTTCGTTGTCTGATTTTCCTTCAAGTATTTAAAAACAAAACTAGACATGCTGTTAGTTTTTTTTCAAATTTAGGAGACTTTCATAAATATTCATGAAGTTAACTCAGATATCTAGGTATAGATATGTATGATAAAATTGCTATGTTTTTGGTTAAAACACTATTTAAAAAATAGGTTGCATTCTAAAAAAGGAAGAATAATATCGAAGTCCAATTTTGACAAGTGCAAGATCGATTGTTTTAATTTACCAAAAATATCCTTTTAATTTTACATTTCCTTATTGAATATACATGAAGAATAATTTGAAGGTTAGACGAATCCATAAGAATTCTTTGTTAGCCAGTAGTTAGAGAAAATGTCTGGTAAGGCTAATTTTTTCATCTGATGGAAATCTTAGAAAATACGGAATGGTATTGTCATAAGAACTATAAAAAAATGGACGACATATCGAAATTCTAATAATATGCGCGTCCACACAAACACACACACACACACATACACATACATACACACACACACACACACACACACACATATATATATATATATATATACACAGAGACAGACAGACACATATATATGTGTGTGTGTGTGTGTGTGTGTGTGTGTGTGTGTGTGCGTGTGAATTTGAATTATATGAGAGTGGGCTGAAAAGTTCATAAGCTGACCAAAATACACTCATGGAATATGACTAAATGAGCTTTATTTGCTAGTATAGTCCCTGCTTGCGGTCAAACAACAACAGATATCATGTCATCTTCACTGCAGTAGTTGTACCCAGCCAAGTGTGTTTTTTTTTCACGTTGGCGAACAGATGATTGTCAGATAGAGCCACATTAGGACATTAGAAAAATAGGGAGAATTATCCAGCAATTCAAAGCCAGAGCCATGCACAGAAGCCAGCGAAACCAAGTTTGTTGCCACCTTGTTCTGATGAAAGAAAACGCATTTAGTCAGTTTTTCTGAGCGTTCGGTCCTGATAGACGTTAGTAGTTTCAGCACCAATTTGGCATTACTTGACGATATATATATATATATATATATATATATATATATATGGCTGTCCACTCGTATTCGAGGATACCTGTCTACTAGGGCGGCTAGCCAATCCCTATTACAGACGCTTGCTCAGGCGCATTTGTGTTTATTCAACACCCACCTTTGGTTTATACTGCAACTATGCTGAGCAAACCTTAGTTATAGTCTCTGTGAAAGAGTGTGTTATTTAGCGTGGTCTACAATTTGAACAAGGTCAGCAGGCTCAAGACCTCGGCCACGACGGCTTGTGACTTCGTACCAGGATTCCGTCAACCCACTTTTACTCACAAGGATATGGTTTTCAGACAGTTTCCAAATATTCCACTCGTTGGATTGAAACTTCCACTTCGCTAACACCAGAAAGTCTCCTTCCTAACAAATCGGCCATGGTGAGATTCGAACTCGTGTATCGTGGTCTGAATAAGAATGTTCTAACCACTTGGCCACGTGCCCATTCAACAATACATATTTATAGCAAATTTACCAACAATACATTTTCTCTGTAGTTGAAGCCATAAAATTGTGTTAAAATACTTAGTTTTCTGCATTAACGTTTATCGATCTGTATGTGACTTAATTTGCTGTTTATTCTGCCACTGAAGGTGAATCTATTCCTTGAAGTTAAATTTGTTTGAATTTATAATTGTCTTGTCGTATTCTGCTATGGCAACAGAAAAACATCTTTTTGCGAAATTGAAAATAAGGTTTGAAAATGAATGCATTGAAAAAGGGAAGTAATATTAATAATGCAGGATGCTAATACCTAAATAATCCATAGAGGTTGATATGCCGCTAAACGTCATCAAGTAACCACACAGTCAACAAAGATAATGGCATTTACATCTCCCAAAACTGAGTCCATCACCTTCCCTGCAGATGAAACGACATTAGGCTTCTTCTGAGTAGGTGAGGAGTGTTGTTTTCTCTGCATGGTGTGTCTCTTTGTTTCTGGTTCAAAGTGACACACATCCTGGTTTAAGAAAAGTCCAAGTAAACTAGATGGATTTGCCCCAAACAATGTCAGATTTTCCAGCGATGGGATCAGTATTGTTCGCATTTGATCATTTATCAAAATGCGAGAAACCCACCCAGAAAAAATTTTCCTCATTGCATGTTCACTCTGCAGAATATTCTCACGGGATATGCTAAAAGCGTTGCTTATTTGATTTAGAGAATATATATATTTAGAGAATATATATATATATATATATATATATATATATATATATATGTGTGTGTGTGTGTGTCTATGTGTGTGTATGTGTGTAGAATGTATAATAGGATCTGAAAGAAAAAAAATCTGCTGCATATGTATGTATACACAGGTACATACGTTTCGGCATGCACATCTGTACAAGTATACAAAAGAAAAAAGGCTCTAATATATGTATATGCCTGCCTGCATGGTTGGGTGTGCATGTATCGATGTATATTTGTGTGCAGCTATATATAACAAAAAAAAAGAAGAAAAAAAAAGATTAAAAATCTAACAATGCCAAACGTCTCAGATATAGATAAAAGAAACAGACACACGATCATTTTTTACTGCAATGGTGGAAATTGCAAGACGTCTTGATGATGGGTCATTTTCAAAACTCTCTCCATCCCTACTGCAATAGGCTACCCATATTTGCAAAGTTGATAAACTATTCTCTAATGTATCAACCATTTTTAAGTAAGTACTAGTTAACAGCACGATGCCAGATTTTGTCCGTTTTCAAGAGAAGCCGCTACTAGTTACTTGTAAAATCTTCTTTGAACAGTCAGGTATCAGTTTACCTGGAAGAGAAAAATGCAGTTATTAATAAGGAGTACTGAAGTTAACTCATGTAGGATTTCACAGATTTACCATCATTCCTTCAATGACGGCCGTGTCTTGTGACTTCGAGGCTATCGAAGGCAACCAAGAGTTCCATCTACCCAATTTCATTCACAAGGCTTGGGTCAAACCGTGGTATGGCTTTCAGTCACTTTCCAAAGATGCCCGCTGGGATCGACCCCTCCAGTCCGATAACATCAGGAAGCCTCCTTAACAAATCGACTATGGTGAAATTCGATCCCGGATCTCATTGTCAGAGTGCCAACGTTCTAACCACTCGGCCAAGTGCCCATGTAATTACAGCAGATAGATAATGTGCCATTCTGTTTGGGCTCTGAAGATGGACGAAAGTAAACGTCATATACTCTGTACTACTACTGTACTGATGCGGCATTCACCCTGGGCAGATTGAGCCGGCTTCTTCCTGTTATGAGAAGAAGATTCTTGGGATAAATTACAGAAGTAGGGTACCCAGGCCTACTCGAATAACGTTCTTGCTTGCCGCGGGATTCCCACAGACGCAGAGACAGGAACGACCAGAAGCCGCCGGTTACCGATGCAGACGCTCCTTGGATTTTCACCAGAGCCCTTGTTAGCCGGCGTGTATGTCAGACCTGTCCGCCTTGGGTGGCCCTACCAGGAACGAAGTTCCGGGCGCCATAGCTCTGACACTACCGTTTACACCCCCCCACTGTGAGATAACGGTTGGACTTTGGGGGCTTACAGTACCAGGTGTTCCCAAGCGGTCACCCATCTAAGTACTGACCTGGCTCTACGATGCTTAACTTCGGTGATCGTACGAGAACCGGTGTTTCAGCGTGATTTGACCGTAAGCTCTACGGTCTCGAGCTTACGGTCAAACGTCATATCCGAGATGCTGTTTGGTTTCAATAAGATAAAGAAATGATAAGAAATAAAATGAAATGGCAAGCCTTTTCATTTTACTTTTTTAAATAATTCATTCTTATGATTACTATTGAATTTATTCTGTTGATTTGTTAAGCTCAGATATTTATCTGTCCTATAGGGCATTCTCACCGGCATTACATAAAGTTTACTCCATTATTAAAATATGCTTCATCGTAAAGTTTTCATGTGTACTGTTAGTGTATATTTTTCACTCTATCAAGCATTCTCCTTGGATCAATATTTCTTCACTATGTACTTATCAGACTGGTTGATCTAAGCAAACGCCACAAACCTTATAAGCACCCAGCTCATTTTTTTTATTTTCGCCTGTATTTTGCTTTTAAAATTGATTAAATCATTCACTCACCAGTAATTTTCAATCGTCTGATGAGATGCGTCGATACACATCGAAACACAAATGCAACTGTGTAGCGATCTTGACATATTTTCGATGTAATATCCTAAAATAAAGAGTATTGCTCGACTTTGTATTGAGCTCTCTTTTAAATTAAATGTTACGAACGTTGGAATTGTACTCTATTCATTCTCATCTTACGTGGAAGATATATATATATATATATATATATATATATATATATATCATCAGGAGGAAAAAAAAAATATATATATATATATATATATATATATATATATATATATATATATCATCAGGAGAAAAAAATATGCTTGCTGGTAGCAGTGAACTACAGAAATGAATGTCTTGATGGAGAAAATGAACTTTTGTCTGTAGTTTTCATTTGTTTTTTGATATTTTTATTTTTTATCATGAATTTTGGTCAGACTTAGTGTTGGTCAAACAGTCTCTTTTGAGTTGTTATTTAAGATAAGAGCTGTATGGATTCATGCTGCTCTGAATTCCCTTGGTCATTTTGACAGTTTTATTAGTTCCTGAAAAGGGGATGTGTCTCTGTTAAGTATGTATGTTATTTGGTCCTTAAAGTGTGTGTGATGTGTGTAAATGTGTATATTACTATGGGTGTGTGTTATCATTTGACTCATTAGGGAGTAAGTGAGTATGATGTGTGTAAGTGCGTATATTCGTGTGTGTGTGTGCATGTGTGTATAAGACTCAGGCCTCAACACCTCCGCAATCAGGTCTGTCTTGTGTCGGTGAGAAATGTTTGTAGGTCCTGATTTGTGTGGTTATATATTAATACTATCTTTATTGTTAAATTTGTGATTAAGCCCGTCTGGATAGTGCGTTTTAAAACGTTGTATTCACTTATTATCATGGGACTCTAAAATCTTTCTAATGTTATCTGCTCTGAACTTTTCTATTCTCTCAATTATAGTTAATTTTCACGGGTTTTAAAATCATGTTTTTCTAGGCGGAAATGTTCTACAGGTAATAATCTTTCAAGTTCGATTGCGATAATTATTAATTATGTAGTGAAAGGGCCATTCAGATTTTCCCAGATAGTGTTTCTGTCATAGTGTACATCTTGGGAGGTAAATTATGTTATGACTTCTACAGTTAGAATCGTGGTAGATTTTGAAAGTAGATTTAGTGACTGAGCTCGTGAATGAATTCGTGTGCCTAATGTGTTAGCAGCATAAGCTCCTTTTGTTTTCATATACATACATTTGTAAATCTATTTTTGATACACCCTGCAAATTATCTTTCGCTGCCCAAATATATCCAGTATAGAGAAACTACTCCGTAATCAAATCTGTTGGACAGGCCATCTAATACGTATGAAGGATGACAGATTGCCCTAAATATTGTTTTTTTTTTATAGTGAACTGCTATCTATCTGTTTCTTTCTATCCATCTCAATCTATTTATTTCGTTTTATCTATCTATCTATCTATCTATCTATCTCAGTCTGTTTTCTATGCATGCATGTATGTATGTATGAATGTATATCAATTGTCAGTCTTGTACACCAGATACAAGAGATCTTCTCCGTAGTCAAATGTGCTGGACAGGCCAGCTGATACATATGAAAAATGACCTATTTCCCAAAATATTTTTTTCTATAGTGAACTGCTATCTATCTATCTATCTATCTATCTATCTATCTATCTATCTATCTATTATAAGCTGTTTCTTTCTATCTATCTCAATCTTTTTCCTTCTTTCTTTTTTCTTTCTTTCTATCTATCTATCTATCTATCTATCTATCTATCTATCTATCTATCTATCTCGGTCTGTTTTCTATGTATGCAATTATGTATGTATGTACATCAATTGGCAGTCTTATACACCAGATACAAGTGCTCTTCTCCGTAATCAAATGTGCTGGACAGGTCATCTGGCACATATGAAGGATGACCTATTGCCCAAAATAATTTTTTATAGTGAACTGCGATCTATCTATCTATGTATGTATCTATCTATCTATCATAATCTGTTTCTTTCTATCTCAATCTGTTTGTTTGTTTCTTTCTTTTTCTATCTATCTATCTATCTATCTATCTATCTATCTATCTATCTATCATAATCTGTTTCTTTCTGTCTCAATCTGTTTCTTTCTTTTTTCTTTCTATCTAGCTATCTATCTATCTTTCTATCTATTATAATCTGTTTCTTTCTATCTATCTCAATCTGTTTCTTTCTTTCTTTCTTTCTTTCTATCTATTTATCTATCTATCTACCTATCTACCTTAGTCTGTTTTCTATGTATGCATGTATTTTTGGACCTCAGTTGGCAGTCTTGTACACCAGATACAAAAGCCTTTCAGCGGTGAGCAAACATAGTCATCATAGAGAAACTGCTTCTCCATAATTAAATACGCTTGATAGGTTTTTTTATAGTGAACAAAGTAATTGACTTGCTCATAAAGCAAAAAAAAAGTTTCAAGAATATTGTTAAATGTAATTTAATGACTCTTGGAGTTAATATCTAAGACAGATAAACTGTTGCTAGAGATAGATTTAGATGGTGAATGTCGATTTGGAAACGATGCAATAATTTTGAGCCGAGGAGAGTTGATCATTCCAACAAAGAGCGCGCCATTACGGAGAAATAGAATCTGTCCCAGAACTATTAGTACACCAACAGATTTGCAGTGTTTGTGAAAAGGTCACCATCTACGCGGCTGGTTTAGCCAGTCACATGAGCAAGACATGCAGATTATTATGCGAGATTTGTGACACGGTTTGTAAGTAAGCTGCGGGTGTAAAAGCATCACATGATTGTACCAAGGGACAAGCACGTTTCTAACATCGCACAAACTTTCTGTTTGCAACGTGTGCAAGAGTGATTGTTACAGTAAAGCTGGCCGTAAGAATTATTTACGAGACGGTTATAAATGGTGGAAATATAACATTATGAATGTAAAGCACTTAAAAGCTATCAAGTGAAGAGCTGGCCTTCTGCAAAGAAGTGATAATCATTATATATGTATATATGTATGTATGAATGTATGTATCTATCTATCTATCTTATTCTATTCGGTTTTTCTATCTATCTATCTATTCGGAAATTTGAAAAAGTTAATAATAAATTGGATAAATGAACTAGTCGCTATTATTTAGCCCAATTGTTGATTTGGCGTCATAGGTTCTCAAGTAGGCATCTACGCGGACGACATTACAATTTACTCCTGCCTCAAAAACAAATCTAGTATCGCTGACAAAACTAACCTGGCCCTTCGTCTCGAAAAGGACTTCCTATTGGTTGTGAACTGGGGCAGGAATTGGCTGGTTAACTTTAACGCCTCAAAAACAAAACTGCTCTCTATTAATCACCACAGAGATCCTACCCTGCTCCCCATTAGAATGTCTGACGTTCAACTTCTCAAGAGCACCTCTTTGCGGCTGCTCGGTCTCACATTGACTGCTGACCTAAGATGGAACAAATACATTGACTGAATTGCTTCGTTCACCGCAAGGAAATTTGGCTCCCTGTGCCGCGCCAGGAAATTTTTCTCCCCGGATTCGATCCTTCAAATTCGCCCTTGCATGGAGTATTGCTACTATATATGGTCTGGAGCCCCTTCTGTTTGTCTTGGGGTTCTTGATAAGATTCAGAGACGGATATGCAATGTAATTGGCCATGATCTGGATTCTCGTCTGCAGTCGCTCTCTCACAGACATGCCGTCGCCTCTCTCTGTCTTTTTTAATTGCTCCGAGGAGCTGCATTCGCTGGTTCCCAGACTTCATGAATTCAAGCGTCCTTTTGAGGCTGGCATCCCGTTTTCACCGTTTCACTGTCGAAACTGTTAAATGTAGCCGTCTCTCCTACTCAAATAGCTTCATATATCGTACCTCGCGCCTGTGGAACTCCCTCCCCTTTTCTTGTTTCCCTGAGAGCTATAATCACCAACTATTCAAATGTAATGTCAATCGACATCTCCAGTTGCCTTGATCTATCCACTATCCTTCTCCTCATCCTCTCCTCTATCACTCCTACCTGCTCTCTCTCCGAATCCTCTGTAACCCCTTGGGTGCTAGTGGCTTCCCACCTTGTTTGGGGTGAAAAACAATCGCACGATTAGGAAGGGAGAAATAGGATCCGCCCCCATAACTATTAACCCACCAACACATTTGCAGTATTCTTGGAAAGGTCAGCCTCAAAACGGCTGGTTCAGCCATTTACATGCGATCAAACCACGGAGATGCAAACTCCAGTGAACGCAACCGTACCAGAATGCCCTGCAGTTTAATTGTACGATTTTTTGACATGGTTTCTAGGTCTTTTTTGGGACACAGGGGTCACATTATCCACAAGGAAAGGCAAGAGTCCAAATTAGGTAACACAGACAAACTTTGTTAGTCATGTGTAGAAGAGAGATTTTAGAATTTTGCCTGGCCTTAAGAATCACTTACAAGCCCTTAGCAAACCGTTATCTCAGGTATAAATGATGGCAATAATAAAACTCTAAATGAAAAACCCAGAGAAGTTCTCAATTGAAGAGATGAACTTCTGCAAAGAAGTGCCAATTATCATATGAAGA